GCAGGCAAAAAACTGGAGATGACAGCCACAGCCTTTGCGGTGGCTGCTCCAATCCATGAAAATGTAGACTTCAGACACAACTCTTTGTGTTGGCTTTAAATACAAGTCGAGCTTGACATTTTGACATTTGATTATGCTCCTATTTATTATGTTTTTTATTGTTTTATATATTGTGTTTTTTAATCGCTCTTTTTATTCATACTTCTCATTTTATATTGTGTGCTAACCTGTACAGCACTTTAGTCATCTCAGGTTAGGTTATTTAAATGGAAGAATCTTGGGGTCCCTTCTTGCAACATTTGGACTTACCCTGAGAATATTTGTACCTGTATGGATTTATCTTTTTCCTTGTTTTATTTATGGACATTTCTGTTGCAGACAGCTTAGATGTAGCACTAACATATATACAGTATATGTATATATATATATATATATATGTCCATGGATTGGGTTGTGGGTTTTCACTTTTGTTTGTATTTTGATGTCATAAAAATGTCACTAAAAACAATAATAATTTTTTTTTAAAGACCAATGTTTATCATGACATCAACCGTAAGAACCTTGCATACAAAAGCAAAAGTGATTAAAGACAAAAGAAATGGGTCCTTAAAGAGAGATCTCTGTACTGGTAGCGGTATCCTTGAATTCATTTTAACATTGAAGCTCTACAAAAGAAGTTGAAGCTACATCACAACATTTGAAGAAGACTCTTGTGGATAAAATCAGAGCTTAAGTTCCCGGAGAAAAATAGTGTACACACAAATCACTGGCTGACTTGACTGTACCTCAGTCTGAGACAGGAAGGAGCTGGTGGACTTTGGGAGGTTACCGCAGGACTTCTCAGGTGTCTCAAACTGACTTCTGATTTGGTAGTGGCCCGGACCAGGAACCCCCTGATGGGAAATAGAAATGAACAGTAAGTACACATTTACACTGTATGTAAAGGTACATGTTATGGTGCTTTCACTTTTGATTAGAAGACGTACAGTAGAGAGATATTGGGGAAGAAATAGGGAGAGGAAAATTGAGAAGGGGGCAGAGTTTCTTGCTGATTATTTTCTACATTGAATTGTGAAACGCACACAGACGAAATACTTGTGAATGTGAACTAAATCAAAGTCAGCAGAGGAAATGAGACAACTTGTAAAAACACCCCCTTTCTGTTCACGCTCCGCAATTAAATCCCCTTGTTTAAAAAGAAACTGAGTGGAGGAGTAGAATATGTGTTTGCTCATTTCATACTCACAGGACACAATAACATCTCATTCCTGCTTCACAGTTACTAGAGTATAACTAGCAAAACAGCTAACCACACGAGACCTCACACTTTCAAAGGTGCTGAGTCATGCCGAGCCAGGACATTTTTGTTTTTGTGGTGAACCCACAAGCTTGCTGGTTTAACTCGGTCTACTGTAAAACAGAGTTGATTTCTGGAGTGATTGTTAGAAGTTACTGTATACCCTAATAGTGTGGTTACATTTCAGTATTACATGCCTCTCCATAAGTGAAGCTTAGCTCTTTGTCTGAAATGGCAAACACAGACATACAGTTTCTACTTATCTTTGGATTAAAGGTAAGAAAATGGAGAGCCGCTGCCACAGTACTTGATTAGAAGGTTTTCAGAGCTGTGTCAGACCTGCTGAGCGTTTGTTTTTCTCTTTGATTTTCAGGTGTTTTAGTGGAGTACACCGCGTCTCTGCCACTCATAAAAATCTTTCACCAAGAATTTCTTTCATTAAAGAGCTGCGTTTACAATTCCCAAGAGTAACCTTCACTAGTCACGTTCACTGTGGGATTCTTTAAAGTCTTTATATGTGATTTTTCACACTTAAATATAATATAAATCAAGTATATCCTCTGAAAATAACTCTGTGAGTCATGACTGTCTACAATGGGTGTAACACCCGAGTCCCACTGTCTGTGATGTTTTCAGAGTTTTCAGAGTCCTATCTTCACTTTGTTTACATCGCCCGGACGGCCGGCTGACTCCTCCCCTCACGTATAAAAGTTGTTTAATTGAGGGACTAGAGAAAAGAAGAATAACATACTGTACTCACTGCTTAACTGTGTTTCTAGATCACGCTCATTTCAGGTAAATTTACATGCAGTGTGAAGATACCAGCATAATAAAGATCGCTAGCATTAGCATGCTAACACAACAATGCACCACAAGTTGTTTTAGTTTCATGCTGGTGCTCAAGGGCGACATCTGCTGGATCAAAAAAATTCACATATAAAGCCTTTAAACAACTCTAAGTTCTCTTGACTGAAACTCAAATGTGTCTGTTTTTTTTACAGAAGAGAAAATGAGAAACAATCTTTTCAATACTGAACCAGACATCTTTTAGGTGAGATTTCTTGACCTCAATCTGAACCATCAAATTAGATTTTTAGCACCTTTATTTTAACCGAGACCAACATTTGTCATTTCAGTGCAGATGTTCACAGACGAAACCGTCCCCACACTCCTTCCTCTGGCAACAAGTCAACACACACCTCTGCAGAGATGTCGCAAATGTGACTCACTTCCTCATCCTCCTCGTCGCAGTCAACTTTATAAATTAAATCATACACACTGCTTTCAGTGGCCTGAAATATTAAAGATAGTGATGCACAACAGTGGGCTGCATGGCATGTCTCTATTATTGTTCACCTGCAGGTGACACAGAATTCGCCTACTGCATGGGGAAAACATAAACTACATAATGAAAAGCAAAAGTTTCCTGCTTTGAGTCTGACCGAGCATTTTCTTTCCTTATTTCTAAAAAAAGAATTAACTGAACAGATTGGCCAACCAGTACATCCCAGCTGTGTGTTCAGTTTAAAGGTAGATAATCCTTCATCCAGTGAGAAACGGTTGTGCCAAAGCTCGTTTTGTCTTCTTCTTTTCTTGTCTTTTCCCCCTGCGGGAGCTGTACTGCTTCCCCCGTTTCTAAAAATAACAAGCGCTGCAAACACGACAACACAGTCCATAATGATGTTAACATGGAATTCATATCATTTTAAAGACGAACCTGACAGTGAACTTCAGATTTAGAGGGACACACTCAAAAACTGCATGGCTAACTCCAACTGTTCTTCTTTTGATAGCAGAGATATACGAGATATTGGTTTATTAAAGTTGTTGGCTTAGTCTTTAATGGGAAAATCCCACACACACACACACACACACACACACACACACACACACACGCTCTTAAAGTCTACAGGACAGCAGCAGCAGCAGCCCTGAGCCATTAGAGGCAGACTGTGTGCTGATCTTTAGGAAGTAAAGGTGTTTGCCCTGAGTGTCCCCACTGTGGGTAACAACCCATCTGGACAGCGTCTGTGTGTGTAGGAGTACATGTGAGTTTAGGCGTCAGGTGCTAATGATGACAGATAGAGGTGTGGCGATCACGGCAGGGGGTCTGAATAAACACACTTCTTTGTGTGCACCATGCACACAAAGAAGCATACACATGAAAGAGAGTTATTGATTTAAAGTCAGAGGATAGATTTTAGTCTGTCAGAAATCACTTTAAATCAATTTAGTGGCAAATATAATATGAAGGGAGAAAGAACATTTGCAAAGGAGTGCCATGCATAATTAATTTTTAAATTAAATAATCTCAAAGCTAACAGAGAGGAGAGGCGACGGAGCACCGTGTTCCAGGAAACAGAGGACGAGAAAAGAGAAAGACGTAGGTGTAAATCCATGTCAGAATGAATACTTTCTGCACTCGCTCCACAAATCCAGTCCCACTTTTTTTTTTCTTCTTTTTTTTTGACTCTGCGTCTCCCACTCTACCCCTCCGACTGGAGAAATAAGGCATCACAAAGCATTACTCTGCCAGCACACTCAAGTTCATATGCAGGTGAGTAACTCCCCTCAACTCAACCAGCTTCAATTTATCAATGTGTGTGTGTGTGTGTGTGTGTGTGTGTGTGTGTGTGTGTGTGTGTGTGTGTGTGTGTGTGTACGTGTGTGTGTGTGTGTGTGTGTGTGTGTGTGTGTGTGTGTGTGTGTGGTGTGTGTGTGTGTGTGCGTGTGTGTGTGTGTGTGTGTGTATGTGTGTCTGTGTGTGTGTGTGTGTGTGTGTGTGTGTGTGTGTGTGTGTGTGTGTGTGTGTCTGTGTGTCTGTGTGTGTGTGTGTGTGTGTGTGCGTGTGTGTCTGTGTGTGTGTGTATGTGTGTGTGTGTGTGTGTGTGTGTGTGTGTGTGTGTGTGTGTGTGTGTGGTTGACAGTCTGTGACTAAAGCCTGTGTTCTACTGCCCTCTATGGGCCGACACATTCACTGATGTGTTTTCAATAAGAGAGGGGACAGAGGTTGAATCATTTCTTCTTCTTTTTTTGATCCACTCTACTTATAATAATCCAAACTAAATCCAAAGCTCTTTCCTTGTCTTTGTTCTCGCTGTAATTCAAGGTGCTTTATGATGAATCACTCTCGATCTAAAGTTTAAAAATCCTGTCGTGTTAAAGCCATTTCACTTCCAATAGGGAATTAAGTCTTGTTACCTATTTAATACTACCTGAACATGTACGAGTGTCTCAGATTTATTACTCATATTTTTAGTCCTGTTTTTCAATAAGAGGCTGATTTGAGGTCGAGCAGACAATTGAACACCAGTCAAAGTGTTATTCATATGCTTGTCATTATAACTCTTATATTAGTGAATAATGTGTGGTTGTGTTTATTTTACAAAAACTGACATTATTTCTTCACACTGAGGATCATCGTTTGTTTTCTGCCGACTCGCTTTGACATCACAGGTCACACCTACACATTCACACACTGATGGCAGAGGTTGCTGTGTAAAGTCGACATCAGAAATAATGAATCCCTAATGAATTAAGGGGGGAAGTTGACCGTCTCACAACCAGAGGATCTAGGGCTCGGTCTCCGGCTCCTGTTGCCACTTATCTATGTGTGTACTTATCTACTGGTCTCACCAATAAGAGCCCCAGCTCTTTTGCAGCACATCCCCCTGTCTCCATTGACATCATAACAACGCTATTTTTTTTTGTTGATGGTGGTGATGACGATGGTGGCAATAATGACAATGAATTGTGGATGAATATTGTTATCATTTTTATCATTACTTATTTATTCATCTATTTTTATAATTTTTTTGTTTCGTAGTGACTTTGTTTTCCTCCTTTTTCTCACTCTGACTTTCCATCCACACACACACACACACACACACACACACACACACACACACACACACACACACACACACACACACACACACACACACACAAACTAGAGTAAAACATGAATATACCCCTTTTCTGGCCTGTGCTCACTGTAATTGTCTCTTGTGTTGTATCATAAGTGTATTGTCTCTTGTCTTGCAATAAAAAAAAAAGAAAAAGAAATAATGAATCCCATTCATACACATTCATACGCTGCCGACAAAGCAGCGAGAGCAATTTGGGGTTAGGGGCTCAAGGACACATCGGACATGTTGCTACAGCCGCCCAACAAGATTTTCATCAGATTTTGATGGAGATTCAAACATATGGAAAGTGAGTTTCCTATTACCGTACTTAGATTCATCAGGTGTCCAGAGACATGCGCCATAATGAATTTCTTCTTTAAGTAGGCATGTGTCTGACCTGCTCACTACATCAACTTTAATAAGCCAATGCTAACTAATTAGTGACCCTGCCCCCAGGTGCCTCAAAAATCCAATAACACAAGTAGAATTGCCCCTGTGGTCATATTGGTCACTTATTAGTTCCACAGGTTCACGTTAAAGAGAAATGTCCCCCACAGGGGCAGACATCGACGATGGTTGATCCAAACCGCTCTAAAGCTTTCACCGCCTTCATGTTAACAACAGCACAGACACAAACACACTCTCACCTTCTTTTCCTCTTGCCGGGGCACCAGCTCGTGATATCGAGGGATGATGAGCTCGGCTCTGCCTTTCTGCTCCTTTTGAAGGTTCACATTCACGTACTCTGTTTTAGTGTTTCTGAAACAGAGAGAGAGAGAGAGAGAGAGAGAGAGAATGTCTGTGGAAATAGAAGATGCAGACAAACACATAGGAGAGACACAAATAAAAATAGACAGAAGGCGTTGTTTGAAAACATACAAAGTATGCGGGTCTGGACAGATACTGTGTATTGAACCAGAGGGAAATAGAGATGTGTAATGGAAAAACAAATAGAAAGAGATAAACAAAGCACAGACTGACAGGAGGGGGAGGGACAAGAGAAGAGGAAGTGAAGATGAGAGAGAAGACTGAAACAACGATCCGAAAATTTTTAAATGCTTCAAACAATAGCAAGTGAATCCTAGACGTGTGTTTGTTTTGATACTAATTAGGACAGTGGAATAAGCCAACTCTGTTCAAATTGACCTTTTAAAGAATATTAATTATAAAATGATTTGTTTAAATGCATTAATGTGTCCCTTACATTTCACTGCACATCTGTATCTTGTATCTTTTGCGTGTTTTTTTTAAGTCTTCTAATGGAGTCTGGCAATAAAGATGATGATGATGATGATGATGTATGAGCATGTGACAAATAAAAAATCTTGAATCGTTTTGTTGTCACTGCTACATCTGGATCTAACCCAACTTGAGTAATAGAAATTGTTTTAATGTATTTATTTAAATACATGTAGCTGGATACTTCACAGGGCATATAATAAAGATATTTTGACAAATAGTGTATTCATCCTATTTTGCATTACAAATCTGAATCTGAGAAGTAGGCTAACTAGCAAACAAACTAAATATTTTCTATAAATTCAGTTGTCTGTCTACACCTTCAGTGTGTGGCTCACATCTACACTTTTTTTTATTCTATTACTCAATCAATTCCTGTATGAATAGCTGAGCTGGACGCGTGCCCACCATCGTACAGTAAAAGTGCTTCGTAAGGCCCGTCCTCCGTGGCCATCAGTGGAAAAGGCTGTGTGAGAAATGTCAAACATAATAACCTGGCTCCGGGTTCAAAGCAATATTTCACTTTGTTGGAACAGCTCCTCTGTTCTGCAGACATCACGACGGTAAACGCCTCGAGAGCAGTGAACTCCTGAGATTAGATGTCCTGGATCACATAATCTTATCAACCTTTTGTGTCTTTATTAAAGATACAAAATGTGAATTTAAAAAAGGTTATTCTTCCAGATACATGCACTGCTGATTATCTATTAACTCTTTAAGTGCTGAAGTCTCAGAATCACAGAAGATGCCACATTCTTGTTAAGTGAGAAAGTTCCAAAGACATACTGATTTTATCTGTCTGTGTGAAACTAAGATGTCAACTATGGTATCATTAATGATTAGATGATGGCATATTACATAAAACATTAAAGGAGTCATCTCTAAATGGTTTATATAAAACATATGAACAAGAAGAAGATACGCCCGCAGCCTGCACACTAACTCAATGCCGCAAAATAAAAGTGAGGTCTTCTTCAGGTGATGGTTTTTAAAATGTCAGGGAAGCCAATCACTTAGGGCTGGGAAATATGGACCAAAACTCATATCTTGATACTGATTAGCTGAAAGGCGATACTCGATATATATCGATATGTATTTTATTAACAGTGAAAACACACAAACTACCTGTTTGTGAATTTAAAAAGTAATATGATAAAATAAAAATGTTGCTTAAATACAATAAAAGAGAGAGAGAGGAGGAGCAGAGTTAAGAGGGACAGACAGTCAGTCATCATCAGTGAGATGAGAAAAAGGTGACCTGGCACCTCTGTAACGTTATTTTAATGCAACATAAACTATATCCATATTGTCTTACCCGATATCTTGTTTGAAAATATATCGCTATATCTTAAAAACTTGATATATTTCCCAGCCCTACAATCACTCCTTAGAAACATTGTCATCGAGCACGTCAAACTCCCCAGAAGAGGAGGTGATTTGAACACTGTCTCACTCCAAAGGGAGAGTTTCTATTTATTTGGTCTGTCTGTCTTTCTGTCTGTGGTGTGTGTGCGTGCGGGACTTTGTGAACAACAGAGGAAAAATGTAAAAGTGGAAGCTCGATATACCCGACTAAAGACCGGGTTGTGCAGTAAATCTACCTGTAATGCAATCTCTCTTAATCAATTGACAGGGCTAATACTTTGTATTTATCTAGAGGATATTCAACTCAGTGCTACTACCGATTGGTGAACAGTTCTATCTTCTATCTTTTAGGGGGTAGCCTGGCTAAGTTTTAAAACATAAAGCTGTATGTCAGTTATCTTTTTAAGTGTATGAATATTGGAATTGGTTGCAATACAAGGGGCATCAGAAATCTTGCCTAGGGCACCAAGTGGGTTAGGGCCGGCTCTGTACCCCCCCTCCCCAACTGCCATCTGAGAAAGACCTCTGGTTGAAATATTTTGTTTCAATCCGCTTTTTGTGGCATTGAGTGTGTGGGCATCGTCGTCTTTTTCTTGCTGCTGTTCCCCCGCAGCTACATGATGTGTGTATTACCACACTGCTGAAATGAAACTCATGTTTGAAATTGACAGTTTATGTCATTAGTTTGGCACATAGGCTTAGATGACAGTATAGATACTACTCTCATGTCTGCAGGGTAAATATAAGATCTGAACATAGACAGTCTGGCTCTGTCTATGGAAGGTTTGCACAGATCAAAGAAACAGTCTGGTACACGGCCAACATAAAACAACATTGTTCACATACAACTGGTACAAAATACTCGTACCATAAAATACACAGTACTCACAGTTCAGGGTGATAATGTCCTGGACCTGGTCCTTCATTCACTGCCAGCTCCTGTCTCGACCCTGTCATGTTGCCAAAGTGGACTCCTTTATACTTCTGAGCAGAACTCACCTCTGACTACAGAGAAAGAAAGAATAGGAGAGGGAACAGACAGGGATGAACAGAGAACGAGGGACAGAATGAAACAGTGAGAGCAAATGAGTGGAAAAAGATGAAGGGAGAGAAAGAGAGATAGGCCGATAAATAGATGAACAAAGAAGGAGAAAATAAAAGTCGACTCATTCACACTTATCTGGTTTTCTCCCCCCCGGTCATGTCATGAAGTTGGGACTGAATGGAATGTGAAGTTCAGCCAAATGCCAGAGTATGTCAGAGATCTTGGGGAGACCCTCTGTCCTTTCTTATCTCTGTGAGTTTTACAGCTGACTCTCTCTGCCGCCGGGCCTTTCTGATAGCAGCAGTTCACTCTGCGGCTTAACAGCTGAGAGAGGCTGCATTCAGAAAAGGGAGCAGGCAACTCTCCCTGAACGTCATGTAGAGATACTGTGGTTGAGATGCTCTTAAAAATGTGTTTGCAAGGGTTTATCTTAATCCATCAAATACAAATGGCTGTGGGGTTTTGAATCCAAGCTCTATCCGTCTGTAGAAACAAGGCAACTTCTTCATCAGGATGAAGAGTCTGCAGCTACGCAGATGAAGGAAAGTACAATCTATTCTGCAAGGGGATGTGCTTGTTTGACCACAGTTTTAAGGAAATCCATGCAACAAACATTCTTCCAGCCTAAATGCAGAAATGAAAACCTCACTGTCATACCACAGACAAGGTCAAGTAATCACCGAAGTCATGAAGGTTCATTACAGTCTGAGGACCATGAATATGTGTCCAAATTAATGAGCATATTGAGACATTGTGTTATAGTGTTAAGTGAAAACTTTGATCTGTGTTTGGCAGCACTGAGTGTGTCCATTAATCATTTAGGTCAGGGGTGGGCAACTGGCGGCCCATCAACCCTCAACGTGGCCCTCAGGTCAATTTTTACATGTCAATTAATTGGAAACATGAAGAAAACATGACAAACTCTGCCATGAAATCATGAAAACCAGAAATATGTCCATAATAATATTAGATCAGTGGTATATGTTGAGTTCAATTTGAGACATAATTGACTGTAATTGTTTTTGTATACTACAATTTGGCCCCCTGGCAGTGAGAATTAAATGAGTGTGGCCCTTGCTGTGACCAAAGTTGCCCATCCCTGATTTAGGTTTACAGGATTCATCCTGACGTTTGATCGACATGCCCTTGGAGTTTTTAGAGATTAAACCTCAATATTTGTTGTCAGGTTTTGAGCAATTAGAAAAACCAAATTCCCCCTCAAATCTTAAGAAAATCCAAATATTTCAACAACAATAAAGAAAAACATTTCATAAAGGGGTTCTGTTAATTAACAGTTTGGTGCCCAATTTACTTCAGCACTTATTCCTGACACTGAAGGACGTCTGGTGCTCGTTCCACAAAAATCAAGCTGTTATGTAACAAAAATAAAAATCCCACATTCACCTCTTTTTAAAGCTGTTCATGGTGTGACTAAGTGTGTCTATTTTGTGAGGCAGGTTTTTTTTTTTAGGACTGGCACAGAGTCTCAAAAAGTTTCTCGCTCCATGCGGTGTCTGTTGTCTCCTTAACTTCAAAAGAGAATTGAGGACGAGATGTGAGGATCTGTCCCCTGTGATCTACCAATCCAGTTTAGAGAAGGGGAGATAAAGACACGAGGATCTTCAGATGCCCAAAAGCAAAAAAGAACAGAACATACAAGTACTGAGATGGTTATCGCAGCTGGTTTTGAGTTCAGAGGCACAAATTGCCAATTTATGTCAAGGAGAGCTTTTAAAAAGTAAAAACAAAAACACAGACAGTGGTTATAAACATTTTCATTCCACTTTGAAAAAGGGAGATGGCTGACTTTTTTGATTACTGGAATGAGAATATGCAGACCTTTTTATTTGTGGGCAGGATCCTGCAGGCAGAATTTGTTGGTGTGCTTTCCACATCCCAACAAACAACCAAGTATGGTTTGAATCTAATTTAGCTGCTACTGAGAGAACACTTTGTTTCACAGGGTAATGATTGTTTTTGCATGGTCTGACCAATACCTGTTGTCTTTGGCAGGGTATTTACACAACTCTGACTGCTCTCCATTAGCGTCATCAGAACAACAAACGAGGGGAATAAAATAAATATTTGGGAAAATTGTTCCAATTTTTTAAAACCATGCTGGTTTAACCTTTTACCCATTATTACCCATGTGTTCCTTCAACACACTTCAATGTTGGAACCCATGTCTTGTCTCCTCTTTCCTCATATGTCATAAACACAACTCCACAACAAACTCATTTGTTTTTTGAAGAGGTTAGTATCGAACCAACAGGTGAAAAAAGTCTTTGATACACAGAGCAGATATTCCGTCCCTCAGTTGTAATATTTACGCAGGTCTCAAAGTCCTAGAATAAACAATTTCACTGATGCTCAGGTACAAGTTTGAATCACACAAGCGAGCGAATGCAGTCTTTGATACAATTTATTTTGGGATTTCTGATTGTAATGTAAACAATAGCTGGGTATTGTCCACAACCTCACAAGTCAATTCGACTTCAATTCTTTGGTTCACGATTCGATTCGATATTGATCAATATGTATAAATGACAGAAACAGGTAACTCATCACAGTACCTTCTGATACTGGTAAATAATTGAGTGCATTATTTGCACTGACTCAAATATGTATTTTATTGTTGCATTATTCTTTAATGAACATAAAATAAAACATTAAAGTACAGAATGCAGAAGGACGGCGGTGCCCTCACCGGTGTGGGGCGTCATTACAAGATCTCAAGATTTTGCTAAATCGATATTCAATTGGGAAAAAAATTATTGTAATGCATTGATGAATCAATATTTTTATAACCAGCCCGAATGTAGGCGCACAGAATAGTGACATGAATGGTAAGGCGATGTAAAGGATGTTTCTGCAAAGGAGGGACGGGTGCTCAATCTGTTGAGTTAACTGAATGTCCATCATTAAGGGGATGATTTGGACTTTTTAAATCTATTGTTGTTTTTCAAAATTGTAATGCTGATGCACCACGCTCCATCAGATCTAATGCTACACAGACTCACTATCTCAGCATATTAACTTGTCTTTAATTCGGTTCATGAAGTTGCAGTTTAGTAATGACTTTGTCAGTGCTAAATGAAACTGTAAGTTAGGGGTCAGTGGATAAAATCTTTTAGGATCTCTCTGTTTTCTCAATAACATTTAGACAGAAATCTCTGCGCCTTTGATTTCTGTCTCGTGTCTTATCATTCAAAGGCCGCTCTGTCCACTTTGAAGTCATGTCCGCTGACAGGCACTTAATTCCGCCTGTCCGCACTTTTGAACTCAGTCCGAGCAGCATGGGGCTGGGGGAAGCGTTTGACTTAAAAGAAAGGAGTGTCTCAGAAGGAGAAACAAACAGAAACGGAGGTTGAACTTTCAAAGGGAGAGCAGAACGGAAGAAAAAAAAAAGAGCCTTGGATGGATGAACCGCTGATAGCCCTAAATCACAGCGCGCCTCTGTGCCTGCGCCGGTGTGTTGACACAACCTCGGCCAACACTCAAGGACGCTGTTGACTTCCTCTGGTCATTAACAGATGAGAAATGACTTAATTGAGAGCCAGAGCAGCAGGCGTGTGCATTATTTTAAGTGAATATTGTAATACAGCGAGAAGAATAATTACTAATGGCTCTCTTTGTTGGCATGTAAAATGGATGAGCATTGGTGTGCTGTGGCTTTTTTAAAGTGGAGCTGCATTCATTAGCTATGGAAATGGGGTTTTGGGCCAACTGACTGGAGTGCGGGTGGGGGGGTTTCAGTGGTGCATTAGATCTGCCTAACACTAATGGACCTTGCCTCACGGGCAGGCTGAGTACACTCAGACACACACTCATACAGACTAATGAAAGCACACATGTTCTGATGGATTCACAGTCACATGTGAACATGTGTGTCTGTATGTTAAGTTACCCTTACCAGCAGTGGATTGTAGTAGGCTGGCCCAAGGGTTGTGTCCCTGCGAGGGGGCTGCTGCTTGCTGAGTACACCCACGGCAACCTCCTCATAGCCAAAGGCCTGGCCCGGGGAAGGAATGGAGGGGATATCTGACTGACGAACCAGTCGCAGACTTTTGGCCTGCAGCCACTGCCCAGAGAAAGAGAGAGAGAGAGGGTGTAGAGGGGAGTCAGGTTCTGAGATGGAAAAGATGCCCTGACTTACAAAGTGGCCGAGCACTGCCTAAGGCCAATAGGGGAGAGATTGCGTGAAGGAAGGAGACAGAAAGAAGGAAGGGAGGGAGGTTGAAGATAAGAAACTAAAGAGGGGAAGGCAAAGGAAGAAAGAAGGAATGACAGATGAAGCAGAGAGAGGAAGAATATTTGCTAAGGCAGAGTGCAATGAAATCCATCTCAGTCAAAATACACGCATTTAACAAAAGTGAATTTAGAGTAGTTCCTAATTCAATCTCAGCTCCCTGCAATGCTGAACGTAACAGGTTTTCCTACCACTGCAACATTCAACATCTTTCTCCAAAGTACATATATGATCTAAGGTATTGGCTTGTCTTCCAAACACCTTGCAAAAAGTATCAAAAGTATTTCTCACTAAGTGAAACAATTTTCTGAAAGTCACAGCAAGCATAAGGCAGATTTCTTTGAATGACCAAATTAAGAACTGACGCCCTCAAAGGTTTTAAAATTAGAATTTGTTAATTCCTACAGCTCAGTGAGCAGTCTGCAGATGGCAGAAGTGCCAAAGAGAAGCTTTAACTTACCGTCTGCAAGTATTGGCATTCAGCACTGTTTGTGGAGGCGCTGCTATACATATCATTTGTTTAACAAATGCCACAGAAACAACACAGAGCAGTACAAAGAGCGGCAGGAAAAGTTTGACACTTTGCTGTCTTGCTGAGTGTACGAGTAGAAGTAACAGGACAGGAGAAACTAAATGTGTGAGATAGAGCAAGGAGGGAAATGAGTAACCCCTAAGCAGCATTAATGGGGTCAGTACATGGATGATCATACAAAGAAGAAATGCAGCTGATATTCAAATAGAAATACAAAAAGAAATACCAAACTAAAAAGCTTTGCACACTTAAAATCACTGCATGTTGTTTGTGCAAGAATTAGAGAGAAGGTGTAGTTGGAGCAGATCAATATAAGAGAGCAGTTTTCCACATGTTCCAGAGAAAGTGCATTATAAGATCTGATTTACTTCAGTTGGACAAAACAACAAGCTGGAGGGAGAGAATCGCTTATAAATGATTTCCTGAAAGCGGACTGCTCATTTACATTGCGCTCATAACTTCAACCCATATGCCTACCGTTTGTCTGCCAAGCTTCTGGGCCTGTCCCGCATTAGGGGTCCCAGCCCTGGGTGTGTTTCCTGAGGCCGGCAGCACATTGTAGGCCCCAGGACCCGGAACCTTTGATACTAACTCCTCAAAACGCTTGGAGCGGTTCTGAAGACTGCAGCCGCCGTGGACATTCGACTGATGAGCCAACAGAAAGTCAAGCAGACACAATGAGCATGCATTCAGTTTCATATTGTCCAAAACAAACTCTGTGAAAACTCTCTGTGAATCACATTGTTCAATGTACTCATACTATTCCTTCTACAGCCAGATCTGCTGCCCCCCCCCCCTCCTGACCAGCCCAAGGTTAGAAACAAATTCAGTCTCGCATAACCTTAGTTTAAGTCTCTCAGATACAATGTGGATTTCCCTCAATTGCATGTAAATGACTAAATCTGAGCTACACTACCTTAACAGGAGTGGGGTCATAATGTCCAGGTCCTGGTCTTTCCTTACTGGACTCATTGATAAACAGCGGTCTTCTGGTCAAAGACAGAAATGGGACTAAATCTGAGCTACACTACCTTAACAGGAGTGGGGTCATAATGTCCAGGTCCTGGTCTTTCCTTACTGGACTCATTGATAAGAGCATAACGAATTTTACACTGACCTTAGTCATCATGGCTGATGTATTAAGTTACTGTGCAAGACGTAATATTCCTGAAATTGTGGAATTTCCTCTTCTTTCTAAATTAAGTCATATTCCCTCCGCATGGAACAGTCTTCAAAAACACTCAAATGCAGGAACTCATCACAAGAGATGATTTTAAAACTCGGCTCACAAGTTTTTTAAAGGCTAATTTTGGAGAGTGTAAATGTTTCACTGCATTGTATTTTATCATCATCACATAATTGTTCTTTTAGTGTGTATTGAGGTGTTGTGTTTTGTTTTTGTTTAACATGATCTCATCCTCCCCCTCCTCCTCCTTCTTCTTCTTCTTCACCTTCTGGACTGTATTTGTCTCTTTTTCTCATGTCTGTGCTTTCTTTTAAGGTTTGTCTCATATTTATTTTTTACTGCTGACATTTTGGCCTTTGCTCGAAAAAGAGGTCATTTGATCTCCAGCAATTCTTGCCTAGTAAAATAAATAATATTAGCCAAAAAATGTGTCTATGTAAACATTTTAAGTTTGTTATTTCTGCAAGTTAATAGTGTGGACTTTAAATGTTGGACACTTTGGTAATGTAGCCTACTGAAGCTAGAATAATATAAACATGTACAGTTTCTAATCAACAATTTCTCAAGAGAAAGAAAAAAAAAAGAGTGTGTTTCTTGATTGAAAGAGATAAGAGTGCTTCTAAAAAAAAATGTCTTACTCATGTAATTATTGTAACTAAATGGTTAAATCATACCTTCTACTTTAGCTTTGTACTGTACGTCATACGATCCGGGGCCAACCGTAGAAGAAGAAGCGCCGCTCGGTGTGAAGCAGGTTACTCTGGAAGCTCGTCCATACATTTTTAATTACCCTGAAATAAACTGTGAGGCTTAACTTAACTTGTGTAGAGGACATACATCAGCTAGAGTCGCCCCCGAAAGCCATATTGTAGCTCTAAACTTAACTTAATGTGATAAAGTTTACGCATTCCTTCGCTGCTCCCGTTAAAGTTCTGTCATGTCTGGACGTTACCAAGCGTGCGTCGTTGCTAGGATACCGCGTGTCGTTGCTGTAAATATTACGTCGGTGCGCGCCGCAGTTACGCAGCAACAGATGATGAAAGGAGGAAAACATCGTATCTTGAATATGTTTTTAAAATGTTCTCCCATTCAGACAATTTTCTAACTCTTATAATTTGTTTCGTTTTTACTAAAAGAGTTTTAAATGGATATTTATTTTAAATAATAATAATAATAATAATAAAACATAAATAAAGACATTTTTCTCAATGGAAACATTACCCACATGACTGTTATCATTTTATAACAAGAGATAAGTGTAAAAAGGCCATCATAGTCCACTTATACCATCTAGTGGGTGACTTAGAACATCCATATTTTCTAAACAGGGTAAAAGAAAACAGTAACACCACTGAGTACTCAAGTTCCTGCATGTGAAAAAAGTTGTTGCTTTCTCGTTTCTGTTGTCAAAACAATTGTTCCTGCATAATTTGGCCTTAATGCGCCACTGTTGTCACCATTCCTGTTATCATTATTCACAGTCTTGACCTACTTACTTGCACATGTTTTAGCCTCCTCTGGAATAAAGATTTGGATAATGAGAACTCAGGGGAAAGCTATCCAAGAAACAAGTGCCTTCCTAAGCAGTGACCTGCATCTTTATTTGACTATCCGCCGTGTCTCATAAGCACAAGATTTGGTCTTTAAACCAATTTGACATACACTGTTTAGTCCACATAGACAAAATAAAGTTCATCCAATAACACATTACAATAACAATGATGATAATAAAATGATACAGGAGAAAAATTTACTCCCAATGCAATATTTTTTTTATGCTTTCCACAAACCTGTCTGCATGATCAGAAGAGAAGAGGTTTACTGAAAAAAATGCAAAAATATATATATTGTTTTTTCTAAGAGATCTTGGTTCAAAACAAGAATAGAAAGGTTTTTATTTTTTACATTATTCCAAATAACACACAAATCATGATGAACACGATGCTAAATCATTTTGCATAAAACTCGTTCATTCCTGTGTCAAAAGTGACAAGAGTGGGGCAAAAACACTGACAACGTACAGTATATATTAGAAATAAGGAATATCAAAATGAAAAGTTATACCTTTGTTTGGTTGCTAGTTGTATGTTAGTTAAGGGCCTTGATCTAACAAACAAACAAGGGAATCATTTCGGTTTTTTTACTGAATTAAGGTTTTAAAAGCGGCCCAGCAAGCAGTTAAAAGTACATTTACAGCAATTAATTCATACGTTTTGGTAAGTAATTGACGTCATTGTTTGGTTATAGATACAGATTTATGGAGTCGGAGCTCTCCAGGGATATGTGTTTGGCATAACATGAAATTGTTGCTTTATTTCCAGGAAAGTAGAAAATACATTCGTTACGATGAAGCAGCAGTGATGCTTCCAGTTCCTGTTACTTAGAAACGACACTGCAGCACTCTGAGACCAGTGACACCATTTCACCACTAGATGGCGGCAGCATCCTTCAGGCAGGTTTATCCTGCTTCAAATTCACAAGAAGACCACTGATACCTTCACTGATCGTCGGAAATGTCAGCAATTGGCATGACCCAAATGGATTAAAGAACCATCCAATAAATAAATGCATACACATTTAGTATACTTATTAAATTGTGTTACTTTACGTGTTAATATGTTTCAAACTCTCAGTCAAACCGGCTATATCTTTTAAAATGAGTAGTTTAAAGCAAACAAGGTGATATAGCTTACCAATAGCCAGCTCACAATACCAAATACAGAAGATTTAATTCTTTCTGACGTCTTTTGGATTGATCGGCCTTTCTCACACGACCTTTTCTCAAGTTTGTCTCAAAAGCACCACACGCAAGCCATTACAGAGCATCTCTTGCAGAGAGAGCAGGAACTAAATTGTACGACGCGTACCTGAATGCAACACGGTCATCACCTCCACCATCACACAGTCAGCGTAGCATCCACCAGCAAGGTGTCACTTAGGCAGCTAACTATCTGTTTTACTTTGCTGTTTAGCTTACCATTTTTATACACATCAGTGTGTTGGAAACTCGAGGCGTGGGCAACATGAAGGGAATCAGGTTTTTGGTGTTTTTCTTGGCGCTGTCCGCGTCCTTGCTGTGCACAACCGAAGCGGGGCGGAGCAGGACGAGCACCCAGAACAGCTTCCGACGAGCGGCCAACGGGATCTACCAGACCCTGAGTAATGTTTTCGGGGAGGACAACATCCGAGGGCTGTACAAAGTAAGTGCTGGAGGTCACGGTGTATAGAAACAGGTAAACGCGGGGTTGTGGTTTTTGCAAAGGGCGAACAGGGAACTAGCCCGCCTGGGCCCTGGCCAACAATTCCTCGGATGCCATTTTGAAAAATTAGCATTTATGTCATTTTTAATGTCAGATGATGTCATGTGGTGCAGCGTTTCCGCAAACAGTACAATTAAGTTTGTTGAAAATGTGTCGGAAATGGATCATTTTGCTGTGCAACGTGCAGTTTTCATTCATTGCACAAGTGCATCTAATGTCATCATGTCCGCTTCATGTGGTCCAGGCCGTAACAGCTGTTCCTTTAGATTTACTACTTCTCCAAAATGTTTCAGAAAAACCACATTCAACTGCTCTTTCTTTTGACACGTTAGCGTGTGCTGTGCTCTCATTGGTCCAGCTGCACTTCCTGTATTTTAAAAATCTAATGTTAGTTCCTGTATGTAGCCGCCAAATCAAACCAGAGGTTATTTTAGGCTGCACACGTCATCACTAAGAGTCAGTGGAGGGGAAGAAATGTCCTCCTGCAGTAACACATGTCCTCCTGTAGTAACACATGTCCTCCTGTAGTAACACATGTCCTCCTGTAGTCCTCCTGTAGTCCTCCTGCAGTAACACATGTCCTCCTGTAGTAACACATGTCCTCCTGTAGTCCTCCTGTAGTAACACATGTCCTCCTGTAGTAACACATGTCCTCCTGTAGTAACACATGTCCTCCTGCAGTAACACATGTCCTCCTGTAGTCCTCCTGTAGTAACACATGTCCTCCTGCAGTAACACATGTCCTCCTGTAGTCCTCCTGTAGTCCTCCTGCAGTAACACATGTCCTCCTGCAGTAACACATGTCCTCCTGCAGTAACACATGTCCTCCTGTAGTCCTCCTGTAGTAACACATGTCCTCCTGTAGTAACACATGTCCTCCTGCAGTAACACATGTCCTCCTGCAGTAACACGTGTCCTCCTGCAGTAACACATGTCCTCCTGTAGTCCTCCTGTAGTAACACATGTCCTCCTGTAGTAACACATGTCCTCCTGCAGTAACACATGTCCTCCTGCAGTAACACATGTCCTCCTGTAGTCCTCCTGTAGTAACACATGTCCTCCTGTAGTAACACATGTCCTCCTGCAGTAACACATGTCCTCCTGCAGTAACACATGTCCTCCTGTAGTCCTCCTGCAGTAACACATGTCCTCCTGTAGTAACACATGTCCTCCTGTAGTAACACATGTCCTCCTGTAGTCCTCCTGTAGTAACACATGTCCTCCTGTAGTAACACATGTCCTCCTGTAGTCCTCCTGTAGTAACACATGTCCTCCTGCAGTAACACATGTCCTCCTGTAGTAACACATGTCCTCCTGTAGTAACACATGTCCTCCTGCAGTAACACATGTCCTCCTGTAGTCCTCCTGTAGTAACACATGTCCTCCTGCAGTAACACATGTCCTCCTGCAGTAACACATGTCCTCCTGCAGTAACACATGTCCTCCTGTAGTCCTCCTGTAGTAACACATGTCCTCCTGCAGTAACACATGTCCTCCTGTAGTCCTCCTGTAGTAACACATGTCCTCCTGTAGTCCTCCTGTAGTAACACATGTCCTCCTGCAGTAACACATGTCCTCCTGTAGTAACACATGTCCTCCTGTAGTCCTCCTGTAGTAACACATGTCCTCCTGTAGTAACACATGTCCTCCTGCAGTAACACATGTCCTCCTGCAGTAACACATGTCCTCCTGTAGTCCTCCTGTAGTAACACATGTCCTCCTGTAGTAACACATGTCCTCCTGCAGTAACACATGTCCTCCTGCAGTAACACATGTCCTCCTGTAGTCCTCCTGTAGTAACACATGTCCTCCTGTAGTAACACATGTCCTCCTGCAGTAACACATGTCCTCCTGTAGTCCTCCTGTAGTAACACATGTCCTCCTGTAGTCCTCCTGCAGTAACACATGTCCTCCTGCAGTAACACATGTCCTCCTGTAGTCCTCCTGTAGTAACACATGTCCTCCTGTAGTAACACATGTCCTCCTGTAGTAACACATGTCCTCCTGCAGTAACACATGTCCTCCTGTAGTCCTCCTGTAGTAACACATGTCCTCCTGTAGTCCTCCTGCAGTAACACATGTCCTCCTGCAGTAACACATGTCCTCCTGTAGTAACACATGTCCTCCTGTAGTCCTCCTGCAGTAACACATGTCCTCCTGTAGTAACACATGTCCTCCTGTAGTCCTCCTGCAGTAACACATGTCCTCCTGCAGTAACACATGTCCTCCTGCAGTAACACATGTCCTCCTGCAGTAACACATGTCCTCCTGTAGTCCTCCTGTAGTAACACATGTCCTCCTGTAGTCCTCCTGTAGTAACACAAGTCCTCCTGCAGTAACACATGTCCTCCTGTAGTAACACATGTCCTCCTGTAGTAACACATGTCCTCCTGCAGTAACACATGTCCTCCTGTAGTAACACATGTCCTCCTGTAGTAACACATGTCCTCCTGCAGTAACACATGTCCTCCTGTAGTAACACATGTCCTCCTGTAGTCCTCCTGCAGTAACACATGTCCTCCTGCAGTAACACATGTCCTCCTGTAGTCCTCCTGTAGTAACACATGTCCTCCTGTAGTAACACATGTCCTCCTGTAGTAACACATGTCCTCCTGTAGTCCTCCTGTAGTAACACATGTCCTCCTGTAGTAACACATGTCCTCCTGTAGTAACACATGTCTTCCTGTAGTAACACATGTCCTCCTGTAGTCCTCCTGCAGTAACACATGTCCTCCTGTAGTCCTCCTGTAGTAACACATGTCCTCCTGTAGTCCTCCTGCAGTAACACATGTCCTCCTGTAGTAACACATGTCTTCCTGTAGTAACACATGTCCTCCTGTAGTCCTCCTGCAGTAACACATGTCCTCCTGTAGTAACACATGTCCTCCTGTAGTCCTCCTGTAGTCCTCCTGTAGTAACACATGTCCTCCTGTAGTAACACATGTCCTCCTGTAGTAACACATGTCCTCCTGTAGTCCTCCTGTAGTAACACATGTCCTCCTGTAGTAACACATGTCCTCCTGTAGTAACACATGTCCTCCTGTAGTAACACATGTCCTCCTGTAGTCCTCCTGTAGTAACACATGTCCTCCTGTAGTAACACATGTCCTCCTGTAGTCCTCCTGTAGTAACACATGTCCTCCTGTAGTAACACATGTCCTCCTGTAGTAACACATGTCCTCCTGTAGTAACACATGTCTTGAGAATGGATGAATGCACCTTGCATGGTGGCAAAATGGGATTTATACACGTATGATACATGTTTGATTAATGCCTTTTAATAAATGCTGCCAGATCAGATCTGAGCCCCATAAATAGAATAGAAAGTGTATTTATAAAGCACGTGTCCTTACAGGTGAACTCAATGTGCTTTACTTTAACGATAAAGACTCAGGAATACAAGAAACTGTCACATGGATAAGAGAAAGAAATCAAACAAAAAACACATCCCATTCACATAAGAGACATCACATAGCAATCAAAAAGCAAGAGTATCAATTTAGAAAAACATACTGCACATACAACACACACACACAGTAATTATTTGCATGCTTGGGAGAATAGATGTTTATTTGATGTTTTGAGTTTAGCTTTAAAAGCTGATGGACCTCAGGTCAGCAGGATGTTTGTTCCAGAGAGAGAGACCACAGTAACTAAAGGCCCCCCTCTCCTGACTTGGATCGAATTGTTTGTACGACCTCCAAAGGAATCAGATATTTTGGAGCTGAACCACTGAGATGTAAATTATGACAGCTGTGCTGGAGATATGATGCGTTGAAGAAAGGTCTGTTAAGTTGAAAGCCAATAGCGTGCATTTTATTCCCACTGACTCGATACAGTTCCCTCAGTGTGATATTAAAGAGATGGGACAGATCAAATCTAAAATCGGTATCAGGGCAGATGTTAGCGTAGTTTACATATCAGGTGTTGGACTGATGGAGTGATCCACGTCACCGTTCAAGAAAGATCATTGTGCACTTTATTTGTAAATAGCTGCACACAACTTACCGTAAATCGTTGCTGTTATGTGCAAACTTACATTTTTTGTTTAACAGTTTTTATTGTTTTTTTTTTTTAAATGTAAAATTTTGATTGGATAATTAACATTAATAAAATAGATGTACAAACATATGTTATTTTATATATATATATAATAAATAAATAAAAAAGGTTAGATAAAATAAACAGAAGAAAGGAAGAAAAAAAGGAAATTAGTTAAAAAATTTGAAATAATAGTGATGAAATTAAATAAATAGGAGAAGGGGGGGTCACCTCTGTTCCACCTCAACGTTGTGATTCATCACAAACTTCCATGTTAATTATTTTTTAAATACTAATTAAATTTCAGTAAAATCCCAGTTAATGACTATGTTTTTATTTTTAATGGAACTACTTTTTAAATATATTTTACAATAGTGTGTACAATATGAAGTTTAAAATGATTTTGAATATTTATTTTGGTTTGTGGGAGGCATCCGCGCGACCTTACTCTCATGGTCTCTCGACCTCCCAGAGGGGCCCGACCCCCACTTTGGGAACCACTGGTCTAACATGCTGCTGATGATAAGCATTTCTTTTCAGTACAGGTTTTGTTTTCTCTATTAAGTAACGTGTGTTTGTTAATCATACACAATAGGTTTATGGTAAAGAGTGACCCTTCTCTCTGTAATTTTCTTTTCTGACAGTTTTTTTCCAAAACAACGGAGAGGTTTGTGCATGGCGTGGATTCTTTTATGGACACCATCTGGAAGATCTGGTCTGATCTGCTGGATGTGATGGGCATTGACTGTAAGTTTAAAATGCTTTATGACATTTCTTGCAACAACAAAGAAGCACAAGTTGTTAGATTCAAATATTTTCTTTCCCCTCTCTCGTTCTTCCCTCTGTAGCCTCAAACCTCAGCCACTACTTCAGCCCCACGTCCCTCACCAACTCTCCGGCACGCGCCCTGCTCCTGGTCGCCGCCGTACTGTTGGCCTACTGGTTCCTCTCCATGTTCCTGGGGGGTTTCTTTTACCTGCTGCACGCCGTCTTCGGCCGCTTCTTCTGGCTGGCCCGCGTCCTTCTCTTCGCCCTGTCCTGCCTCTACATCCTGCAGAAGTTCGAGGGCGACCCCGAGCGCGCCGTGCTGCCGCTGTGCTTCATCATGGCCCTGTACTTCATGACGGGGCCCGTGGGAGCGTACTGGCGTCGGGGAGGCAGCGCAGGTTCACTTGAAGAGAAAATCGACCACCTGGACACTCAGATCCGGCTGCTCAACATCAGGCTGAGCCGCGTCATCGACGGCCTGGAACGCAGCGGGGAGCAGTAGAGTGGCGTCCAGGAAGAAAGGGGAGGGAGGGGTAATAATATAAAACCAGCTGCAGCTGATGTCAGAATGCTGTTTCCAACGCACATCTGCAGCAACACAACCACTGGGTATTTCCAACTCTACAGAACAGGATTTTTAACTGCTTTAGTTGATTTTAGTTACAGAATACCGAAAACAAAAATCCTCAAAAGGTGTGGACGGTTCTCTCGGAGCTTACACAAATCAACAAAACTATTCTTCTTTTGTTTTTTCTTCTCACGGCTTTGAAAGCTTTCTGTTACATCAACAAAGTTGTCAGAGAGATGTCCGGGGTTTTCTTAATGCAGGCCTCAGCTTCTTTGAGAAACTCCAAAGTCAGGACTTGAATTTTTGGTGTTCTGATAAGAATTTGTCAAAGCGTGTTTTTAAAGCATATTCTGTTTCTTACCCTTGTGAATAACCTGGCGATTCTGATTGTTGCACTGGTTCGTCCATACGTTTTGTTTTGGTTTGTTTTTTCCTCCATTTTGAAACTATTAAAGATGAAAAAAGGGGGATTGGGTTAAAGATGCAGAGGACACAAACATTGTATTTCTCATGTGTAAAAAAATCCACAAGATGTTAGATAGTTGCTCATTGTAAGATTTATTTATTCCTTGCTCCATCCAAAATGTTATGATCATGTAGATCTAGCTTGTTTCTAGTAATTCATCCTTCAATCGTGGCAAATAGTTTGACATCAGGACCTCTTTTTCATTGTGAGTGTGTATGTGTTTGAATTTCTAAAAAAAGCACTGTATGGAAAAAAAGTACCATCAGCCTAGAAGGAAATGTCGACATGCAGCGATATCTCAGGGACTCAACCAACACAGATCTGGAATTGGGAAAGAGATATGAAGACGTTAACTCAGATCATGTTTCGCTCTCTTTGAGTCACTTCACAGCTCTTCAGAAACGGTCTGAAATGTGTCTCATTCAGTGTCGATTAAGAGGTGCACATCATGTTGATATTGCAGATTGAATCCTGCATTTCTTCACCTTTGATACTTTTGATTACTGCTAGGATTTACAGAGAAGCTAGAGGCTTGAATTGGCATTGGATATATTTCACATACTGATGTTTGCACACACAAGCAAATTATCCACCTCTCTTTAGTCTGATCACTGTCTGCGTCTCAATACTGGATTTACTGGATACAGTTGAAAATCAACTGAGAATCATGCTTGTCGAGCCTCATGAAAATGAGATCTTTATCTTATTTCAGCCTTTGGCCTTCAGAGACGGGTCGGTCTAATTTGTTAATAAAGTTGATCTGAAGTGTGGCTGGAGCATGTTGACCTCTTCAGTTTAGATGGTGTGAAATGAAAACCAGGTATCGGCGTCGTTGGATTTTCACTTCATCAGAGTTTGACATCATGGCATTGTTACAAAACCTGCTTAGTGTGCATCACTGTATCCACCATACTGCAGCTTCTTGGTTTGATGGGAGTTTTTGTTTCTGCCTCTTTTTTAATGTTTGTCATAATGCATCGTCTTAAAACACTGGGACCTTTCCTGCCATGCTCCTGTTTTTGTCTCTCTTCGTATTCTGTATCACACATTATTATTATTATTATACATGTTTTGATACAGACGAACCTTATGCTGTGCAGGTATTTGAAGAGGGGGAGCAAATGTTGCTTTCAGCGTCTGATGAGAAAATCAAGACGTGTTGAATGTTGAAGGCTCTTTTTAGTTTTCGACACTACTGAGGCCAAAGAAACAAAACCAGTATTTATACGATTAACACTCAAAGTGACAAGCTTCTCTGTGGGAGATACATTTTTTACCCCGTTTTTCACACTATTAAGGGTGAAATGTCCAGAAAATGACATTTGTATCTGTTATTGATGTATCTGGATTCTCAGATATTCTCATGAGTCGTTTTTAATTGTGCTTTTCACAGTTATCTTTAAATGAAGGCTTGGTAACGACTAAATACAACAGAGACATTTCAATACTTGAGTACTGGTTCATCATAGTGTCACTTGTTTTAGAAGAAACACACCTGGTTTATTAGCCGCAGTTATCCGGGTGTTTCCTGCATGCTATGTTTAAATGTCTGTAACGTTATGTTGAATTGTATACATGTGTTTGACTGCAGAAACCAGCCAACATGTGATGTGTGAAGGATTATGTTCCAGTTGTGTTATAAATCATCTCTATTGCACTGATGACTACAGAACACATTTTTACACCTGTACGAGTGTTTGTTCACTTTACAAAGAGAGGATGTCAAAGTGTTCAGAACTTTGATACCACGGCATGTAAAACAATATCATCTCTGTTATTTTACTCATCGATATGATCAAAATGTACTGAAGGTTTAAGAAAAAATTCCAGATATTCAGTGGAATGTTTTAAGATTTATGTTTTTTTTTTTTAAATGTCTTTATTCTAGAGATAGGACAGTGGACAGAGCGAGAAACCGGGAAGATTCAAACCCGGGGCAGCCCGCTCTCGAGGACTAAGCCTCCGTACATGGGGCATGCGCACTAACCGCCTGACCACCAGCGCCCCATCCAGTCTCATTTTTAACCCGAGGAGAGAGAGCGATGTCTAAATTGCACAAATACATTGGCAACATTTTGGAAATCCAACGTTGTCGATGTATTTTTGCCAATTAGACAGAGTGAAGGAGTTTACTGGCAATTTAGAAAACAAGAAAATACCAAATGTTGAGTATCTAGGACTTCTGTTTTTGTTGCCATGGTATCAAAAGATGTCATATTTTTACTAGTATCAAAGTTTTAATTATGGTATCATCGTAACCCTATTGGAAGATGAAACGACTAGAGATGCACCGATTTGGAAAATCGGGGCAGATACCGATGTTTGAAATAACAATTTAGCCGATCACCGATGTTTGTTTCATTACATCTTTTAGGTTAAGACTCCCACAATGCAACATTTTCTCTCATGTTTGACAATGAAAAAGAGTCAGTTTGTTCAACAGTAAAAAAACCTCTTCTCTGAACCAGCAGTTAAGTGAACTAGATGTCAGTATTAAATTGATTTGGCACAACAAACAAACAAACAAACATCGGCTACTGCGGCGGCTTATGACACTTTTATTTACCGATGTCTGTCATCAGCTGATAGCGATGTTGATCCGATGCATCGGGGCGTCTCTAAACAGGACCAGACCCTCTGACTTTTGTCGATTGAGTGATTTCTGGCGCGTTTAAAAAACACAATAAAATGTGGGGTTTTTCAAACTTAATTTTCCGAGGTAAAGCGGACTAAAAAGACGATTTTGATCCTGGTGTCTTGTCGTGTTGGGTTACGATGTGTAACCAATGACTTGTGTATGTTTAATGACAGCACATGATTTATGAAGATGTAGACTGTGTAGTAAAAATCCTCTTTGTAATTTAAGGAACAAGAAATGAAACTTTTTCTCTTCAAACTGCACAAGTTCTCTCCTTCTTTTGTAAATATTAAAGATGTCTAACTCTGCAAAAAGGTCCGTTAGTGAGATAGACAGCAGCTTCATCTCGTAGAGGAGACTTTGTATACGACTGTCCATCACCACTTAGATGATGAAAGATGTAAATAGATGTTTCTGTTGGTTTCTTCTCTTGTCATTCCATAAATCTCATGTACTGTCTGCTACTTCTTCCTAATATTTCATGTAGCCTGCTTATTTTATAACATGCTGTGCCAATTATGTTTTATCTTCTTTGTCTTGAGTAAATGTTGATTCTTTTCAATCAGTTTACATTTTTTTTTTACATCTTTTTTTAATCCAAATCGTTCTGTGACGTGGTAAACACCAAACTGTTCTGCCTGCTGTCGTCTGACTGAGGATGAGTTGTGTGTCTGAGGAGTTTATCATAACCTCTCAATTTATTTTTTTCTGTGGTCAAAGTGAAAATGAGGTCCAGATTTGAATAAATTAAACACCACAGTATGAAAATGTCTCGTACTTTTTCCATGAAGATGCTTTGACTTGTCTGTGATTTATTTTTTAGGTATTCAGAACTATTAAAGGTTAAACAAGTGAGGACACGACTGACGTGTCACCGTATTGGTCAACAGATAAAGCACAGAAATGCTGCAGAACTAATTTAATCAATCAATCTTTAGTTCTGCTTTCAGACAAAATGATGTCCATATGGATGACTTTCTTTAGTATTGGAAGGAGAAACTGTTAAGACGTTTTAGTTTGTAGTTTTTAGAAAATATGACGACACTCAAACATGCACTTTGTTGGCACTAGGTGGCGATATTAATTATGTTGCGTTCTAATTCATAACTCCTTCATGTGAGTGGAGAGGGGTTGGAGATGTGCTGCTGGAGGTGAGCGTAGGCTTCAGATTTTTTTATTTTCTGGCTGAGCAAAAACAAGTCTGAACGTTGTTTCAAACAAAGTCGTGCGAGTAGATTTAACTAAGTGACCACTTTGAAAAAAAACTGAAATAACTAATTAGAAGCATGTTTTGATGTTACACTTTTTTATTCCATTTTTTGTAACAATGTAACAATGTAACAATGTTTCATTTAAAAAGGGAAATACTCAATCTTTTGCATAGTGTTTTTTCAAATTGAAATATATTGGACTTGCGGGCGCTAGGCTTCAGCTAACGTCAGCGTCAGTTTAAAAACAAAACAAGCTGTATCTTTAAAAAAACATAACCACTGAATTCTAAGTGTGTAAACTCATTCGTTTGATGTTGGTCTCTGGTGCTTTGGGTCTAACACGTGACATGTTAAAGCTACAGTACCTGCAAATAAACTGTGTACATTACTTTTCTAGTGCTGCGTTCCATTGTACTCAGAACATGGGAAAAAACGACCTCCGACTTGGAACGGCCGTTCAAGTCCAAACTCCAAAATCGGAAACTTGAACAAGATGTAGACTGAGCCATTAATATGACTGAGCACACTGTAACAGGTAAACAGGATGACCTGTTGGTCCATTTATTACTCAGATCAGAAGTCGGAAAAAACCAACATGGAATTATCGACTTCCGACTTGCAATCGAACGCAGCATACTCTTCCTCACTCATCTTCTGTTTAAGTGATGAAAACAACTTTTAAACAACAGTCCAGTCTGACTGCACCTATTCAATTTTATCCAGGACATCTAAGAACATACTCATAATACTCATACTCATGTCAGTATGATAAGTAACACCTGACCATATGGCTCCTTATTTTATTTTTTTAGCTCTAAGAGTGTTTCCAAACACAAAGAAAACAATCCAAGGGAACTCTGTCTTGATCCAGAATCAGGAACATGATCGTCGTTGTTTAAAGTCTCATCAGTTTGTAGTTCATGTGACCGACGCCCCTTTGCACGCAAACTCCTGAAAATATCTAAAAACGTTTTCAGGGTGAGCTTCAAGACTTCATCCAAATATGGTCTTGCCAGATCCAAAGTGAAAATTCAGCAAGACTTCAGGGTGAGTTGATGTGCGAAAGCAGCAAGTTACATTCAGGTAAAAATCACAGCGAGTGAGAGGTCGCAGCAACACCAGCGCATTTCGTTGCACCTAGCATCGATACAAAGGCAAAAACTGACAAGAATCTGTTGCTTCATCCATCCGCCATCTTGGAAACATTGTAAAAAAAAAATGACATGGGATGTTTCTGCAGCGTCCTTTTTATGTCGTGTCATGCCTCCGACCTTTCCGACAGAGAAAGTCTCTCACATGTGAGGGTCATGTGTAGATGAGTAACTCTGAAGATGAGTTGCTGAAATTTGCAATAATTGATTTTGGAGTGCATGTGTGAAAAGGGCTCCACAGCACGAGGAGAGCAGCTATGATGGGCATCAACGTGGTTCAGTGACGACAACAAACCTGCTCTGTCCAGGCACACCATTATCCTCCTGATCTCTGCAGTCATTCTTCACTGTATGGCGGTCTAGTAGCATACATGATTATTGAACAATTGTAGCAAAAATAAAAAGTAATAGACATCTTATCTGTGGAGTATCAAGCCCTGCTGCTTGTTGAGTCCCTGGATGTTCAAATTGAAGGGAACAAGTTGCTCCAGGCTCTTCTCTGGGGGTCAGAAACGAGCCAAAACTTTTATGTCCAGGCCACCAGCTCCGCCCGAACCTGCTCCAGAACCCTGAGCCTGGTTTGATCCCGGGCCTACCTGGATGTGGTGGAGGCCGGCGCTGAAGCTGGCACAGAGCAGACCGGTGGAGTCAGTGGGAGCGAGAGCAACCAGAGGTCCAGCACCATCCAGAGCTAACGTCCCTAAACAGACTGAACGGAGGACAGAGGAAACACAGTTTGTATACAAACCCTGGTGTGTGTTTCAGTAAATAAACATTTCATGAGTAGTTGTTACCTGCCGAGTTCTGATCCCAGATTTTGATGGATCCGTCATGGGAGGATGTTGCGACCTGAGCTGTGCCACCAGGGGGCGTAGGCAGGAACACACAGCAGGCGGTGGTCTGGATGTGACCTCTGTACTCCACAACTTTACAGCCGGGCTGACGCAGGTCCCACAGCTAAAAAAAACAAACACAAATACGACTCAGCTAAGAACAAATGATCACTTACAGCAAACAATGCTACAAAGCTGGGGGGGGGGGGATTCTGAAATCATAATCTCATCAATATCACAAATGAAAATACCTCAAATATGAAACTTCATGAAACAGATATGCAACTGAACGGCTAAGGTCGGGGCTGGAACGTGACTGAGATTTGGCAAAAAAAAAATGTAGCTTTATATTGACGATCAAGTCATGATTGTGCAACCTCTTCAGCAGTAAATTAAAAAAGCATATTTAAATATTTATCATAATAAAAATATCGATACTTTGCCGCCATGACACAATATAATATCTCGATACTATGCTGTATCCATTTTTCCCCAAAATCTACAAAATGTAGTTTATCAGTTCAATGATAACTTGAATGACAATGGGGATTAAAATATGCATACAGATATCAGACTTTAAAGAAAGGTAGATGTCTTAAAATAGAACCGACGACATGCAGACAGCCTAATCCACTAACCATCTGTACAGCTACACGACGACAGACGACAAGCACACAAACGCCTCCGGGGTTACTCACCGTGGCTTCACAGCCTTGGCCTCCGAAGCCGTTGCTGCTGGACACCAGGTAGTTTCCATTTGGAGAAACGTCACAGTGGGTCTGGATGTATTGCTTGGCTGGAAAAGTGTTGGTCACCTGCCACGCACGACTGTCCCAAACCCTGCGCACGCACGCGCACACACAGTGTCACAGAAATACACTCAAGAACATTGAAACACTTTCATCCTCACTGTCCACACACGGCTGTATTTAAGTCAGCTGGATTAAAACTGCTCTAAGATAAGGAGGATTAATGATGATAAATTGATAACACAAAGTCGGACTAACAGAATCTGATATCTTCAACCACGTCAGCCTGCAAGTTCATTATCTAAAATAACAATACAATTATTTACATTGCCGATTTATGATGTTTCAGTTAAAGAGAAATGTTCTTTGTAATGCTCCCAGCATAAAGAAAAGAAAGAAAACGCCCTGATATCATAGGAGAGGTACAATCTCAATAATAAATACAACCTCCAGTATAAGTGTTGGAGCTATTTAATTGTTGTTAGAATGAGTTTTGGTATTTAGTTTATTAATATTTGGGTGTTGTTGTTTATTTAATTATTCTACACGTTTTCTTTATTTAGAATAGATTTTGGGTAATATTTTCTTTTGCTAGTTATTTGTTTAGTAAATTTAGTATTTTTGTTAAGTATTTTGGTAACACTGTGGGCACCAGAGGTTATTTAAGTAAGAGGCAGGTAGAGGACCAGCATGCACCTGGGTGGGCCTATGGCGCAAGAGAGGCAGCAGGAGCCAAGATTTTCTTTGTTCTTTTGTTTGCTTTCTTTAAATAAACCACCAAAAAAACTGCAGATCTCTTGCATGGACATTGGACTTATTTTGCCTGTGTACATCACATCCCCCATGGTGCATCAGTGGTCATTTGATTATGTTTGATATTACTTTATTTAGATTTTTTTTGTTGTTTTTGGAAAGATAGCCACTACAATAATAATTGGCGATTTGTAGTTGCAGGTAAATCTTCATGACTCAGAGATAAACAGCTGGGTACACCTTAAACTTTTGACATAAGCTTATTTTAATGTCTTGGCATAGAAAACCTGCCAGTCTACAGAGCAGAAACTAGGTGATACAAGTTTCCAGTCCAACATGTTTCAACTCACCGAAGACTGATAGACAGATCAGTAACTGAATTAATCCATCATTCTCTGAGGATATAGATATTTGGACGATTGTAACCGGTATCTTTCTACACTTGTAGCTCATTCAGACGTCACTGTCTCTGATACTTTGTAAACCTGGTATCAACATCGATCTTGGGGGATCGGATCACAAGTGGACAGCCTTAAATTCAAGTACAAACACATCACAATAGATCCTGAGGATGGACTGAGATCCTATCACTCGATGTGTGTGTTCATACACTCGCTCTTACTATATAGAAGGTGCGATATGTCCCAGGGTTCCCACTCTTTTCCAGAGATCATTTCCAGCGATGATCGAGCCGACATGACAGTCCGTGATCGTGACACACCAATATTAAGTGTAGTCTTTAACAAGGTGAATCACACCCACTGTGAGCTACCGCTTCAACGGTTAAACATTTAATATCATGTTATGATCCATTATTTACCCTTAACAACACAGTATTATATTTGAAGAGACAATGCTAGCAAATTAAAAGGTTAGCCAGGACAACACGTGATTTTCCATGACATTTTACTTTTTCTCTGATTTTCCAGGTGTTTTTCAGTACTCTCCACATGTTGTGAATGACACAAGGAGAGCTGAACATCAAGCGATTGGTTTATAAGAGTTTATGGATCTGTGTTGATGACACAGAACCTTTTAATTTTTTCTTCATTTTTTCCCTCTGTAGATAAAGATCCCAGTCTGCCGTGCTGTCATTTCAATTCAAAGATGAACTGCAGAACCGAAACACCAGGAACACCAGGCTTCAAAGAATTAAACAAGGTTTTTACATCACGTCATGGCTTCAGTCTGTAATCATGCACTCCGCTGTGCAGCTTGTGCAATGTTTGTGTGACAGAGTGCAGCCTCTACCTTTACAACTATTTGTTGTCTTCTTGTTTTTTGTATCATCATTTAATGTTCTTTTTTTTTTTAAATCAGGCTCTGTGTTGATGCAAAGTGTGCTCGTATTCAAGGCTGTCCACTTAGATCAGATCACCCAGGAGAGATGCTGATATCAGTTGTGAATGACCTCTCTATTGAACTTTGATATTAATTGTAGTGATGACCCTGCATCCTTAAAAAAAAAAAATTCCACATCTGCTTTTCATTGTAAGAAAACAGCTGTGTCGCATCATGCAACAACAACTTGTTTGTTTTTAATGTTTCTAAGTAGAAGCGTCAACATATGTCACATTTACCAAGCACAAACAACCTGAATGTTTTTACCTTATGGTCTTATCTTCAGAGGTTTGGACAACAGAGGAGCTACCTGGCACCCAACAAACATGAGTTACCTGGTCAGAGGAAACAGGAAAGTGGAACATTTTAAGCCCAAGTTAGACCAGTCAGAGGAAATGTTGTTCTGACATACTCAGCTCCATACCCAAGTCATTCAACAAGGTTCTGGTGCGCTAAGAGAAAAAACATGCGGTCATTCTCACCAGGTTTCGAGAAATGTTGTGTCTCTGTTCACATTTCGCAGACTCTATATCCCACAGGCACATCCAGTTGTCACGAGAGCCCGTACACAGCTTCCTCCCTTCTGGGAACCAAACATAAAATCCAATCCACATGTCAAGTGCAGAACTTAAAAAAAAGTGTGCATAAAGTTTCTGGATCACTTTGAACAGAGAAGCTCTTAAAAGTCCATTAAAATAAAAACAAACTAACTAATTCACTAAACATCCCCAGTGTTTTTAAAGACAGCTATACCAGCGTCTCCACAGCGACGACTGGCATCACACACAACAACAGATCAGGATAAATAATATAGACACTTATTGGTGCGCCCCATGTACAGAGGCTAGTTCTCCAAGCGGGAGGCCCGGGTGTGAATCCGACCTCTGGCTCCTTTTTCCGCAAGTCATTCCTCTCTCTCTCTCCCCTGCTTCTGACCCTATCAACTATTCCATCTCTAAATAAAGGCATATAAAGCCCAAAATAAACCTTTAATATAGATCAAGATTGTTTTATCCTGCAAAGACTCGCAGACGATATACACAGAGATATTAGAGTGCAGATGATTTAGAGTTTTTGAAATATTTTACAATTCACTTAGCAGACACTTTTTATCCAAAGCAATGAAATGTTTTTGAGAGCAGCGATTCTTTGACATTAATAAGATGCTATCTGCACATAGATATAAAATAAAAAATAAAATAACATACATATTTTAACTTTTCTCTCATCTACTCTGCATACAAAAAATAATTGTGTGTGTGTGTGTGTGTGTGTGTGAGTGTGTGTACCTGGGCTGACAGCTATTCCATTGACCACTAACTCATGGCCACAAAATTCTTGAATAGGATCGTCCCCCTGGTTTAGGTCCCACATCAGTACGGTTTTGTCCCGTGAGGCACTGAAGATCCACGTACTACCTGGATAACACAACACCTGGAGAACACATGGAGGCAGAGTAAGAAGGAGAAAAACACCACATGATGTTTGTACTTCAAACATGGTCACGCCTTTATCAATTTGTGCACAGAGAATATTGATGTTACCTTGGTAACCTCTCGGTTGTGACCTTGGAAGGACTGACACAGCCGGCCTTGTTTCCAGTCGTACAAAACCACAGCCTACAGGAACACACACACACAAACACACACACACGTAAATAAAATACTTGACAATCTTTATTCAGTTGTTTAGCTTTTTATCCTGTTTAATATGATCCATCAACGTTCCTTTATTTCCCAAATAAAAATAAGACTCTCTCTTTTACTAGGCCATCTATATAAATTATCTAGAATCTATGACACATTTTCAATTCATTACATGATGTTCTATAAACAGAGAAAGAAACATCACATTTGCGTTAAATTGAAGCAACCTCCAAGCAGTGAATAAAAATGATGGTACCTGGTCACTCCCACCGGAAACACAAAGATCCGGGCTGAGATTGGTGACAGTGTTGACAGAGCCTTGATGGGCAGGTTCATAATTCACCACCTGACTGTCAAACATACTATCTGACTTCTCCCCCTGAGATGCCCTGAACACACAAAAAAAAAACAGAGTATAAGAAAAGCTTAAATTGGAACATATTCAGTCATTTTTTTAATTTGAAATATTTGAATATCTGAGTTTAGTTTTGTGAATAAATGCTGGAAAGGGTAACTCATTGCAGTCTTTTGTAATTACACTTCCCAGATAAATATATTAAATGTACTACATATAACACATGAAATATATGTCATCTTCTAGTCCCAAAAAAATGGGTTTAAACTCATCAAAGCGCAAAATATGTTTTTCTTTATTTTCCAGGATTACCAGGATTAATTTAGTGTGAACCAAATTCTACCTTAGTTAGTCAGAAGTGCAGATAAAGACAAGCTGTTGAATTGATGCGCACATCTCACCTGTAGAGCTCAGACCTCTTTCGAAACTTGCTCTGTAGTTTGCCCATTTCTGCCGGGAACCTGCAGCCACATTCACACACAGCGAGAAATACAATCAAAACCAGGACAAAAAAAAAAAAACATTTGGGGGGAAATGTACCTTATCATTATTTATCACAAATACTTTTAGTTGGTAGCAGAAAAGCAAAAGGCAGAAAATAAATCTGTAACGGTCTCTGACTGGAAAGAGAGAGGACAGGGAACGTACAGTATGAAACAAACGACATCTTCTCTGTGACACGCCTTCAAACAAAGTTAAAGAAATTGGAAGAACTTGAAATCTTATTGTACCCTGAAGCGATGTCTTTGTCATCCATGTAATTCATTTTGGAAAACTTTTCCAAGAAACTCATAGACTAAAAGGACCTCAGGAGTTTTAAGATGGGTCTCTGAGGAACCACAGACTATTCTACTTCAGTGTAACCCATTTACTGTTCACTTCTTTTCCTTTTTTCTCCTGCCTTTTCTTGTCTGGACTGTTTGTGACATGTTTGGTTTAACTCAAGAAATAAAGCATAAAGCCTTCCATTAGAGAGGATAACTTACATGCCGAAGACAAAACAGCAGATATTTGAGAATATCTGGATGACGTTTTTTAGTTATAATAAGGACTTAGACTTGACAAATGATCAAGTAAATGACTGATGTGTGTGGACAATGCAGTCCGAGCATGAAGAACAATTTTTTTTTCTTTAAATAAATAAATTCTACACTCAGTACTTATCCCAATAAAATATTCAGTTTTGTATAGATTATCTCTTTTTTAAGACTGGAGAAGTATTTCTGTATTTCTACTATTTAAGGTGGTGGTATTTGACAAACATCCAGATTAAGTTTCTTGCTATGAAATATCTGGAATATCTGGCATAAGTGTGCAGGGTGTTTTTAAAACTTTATTGGGCACTAGTACAAGGTACAAGCATGGAGAATGCCAAGGGAAGGACAACCCGCACATACATTATAAAACAACACAAATAAATAAACAGATAATAAAAATGAATAAATAAATAACTTGATTACTGTATTGTAATGAAAACACACAGAGCTATTACAAAGAAAACAGCTGGTAATTTAAACAAATAGATTTAATAAAATACAGTCTTTCATAGTTTTGAAAGCTGTGTTATTGCAGGAGTGTTTGAAAAAGTTTAGATAGTAAACACTTCATTCAATCTTTAAAAAAAAATTTAAATGAAGGACTTTTGATCACAAACTTGCATTTAGGAATATGAAACCTTTTTCTCAATGTCCCTGTTGTAGTTTTTGTTTGTTTGTTTGTTTGTTTTTTTAAACAAACGTGCTTGTACATTAAAGCAAAATCTTCCATTAGTGTAAAACTGATAAACATTGAAATCTCTTGCCACAGTCTTTTAGCCAGAATAAATGAGAGACAATTTCTGGGTGAGTAGAAAAAAAATGTAAAAAAGTTGTCCATGTTTAGGTAACAATAATATAATATTAAAAATAACAAGAAGTTAAAAATCTAATCAATTTATTTTTTAATTTATTTATTTATTCATTTTTTCTCATGTTTTATCAGTTTATGTTTGTTTTATAAAGAGAAAGCTTTATCTGCTGAAAGGTATTATGTTATATACATGGTTAAGAGTTTATCTTCTAATGTCCACTCCCTGGCAGTAACGGTGTTTTGCACTATTTGGTAAACATCCCAATTAAGCCTCTTGCTATTAAATATCTTACATAAGAGTCAGAGACAACAGAGATTAAACCGTCCTCACGCAAACACTACTTTCTCTCTGTTACACACACACACACACACACACACAACTAAGCTCCCCCCTCGTTATCCAAGCGTACTCCTCAAACAAACCGACAGGAAGGAGAGGGTTCAAATCCTATTAGAGCCGCATCTTTACTGTCACAACTAATTAGTCGCTCGAAAACACCTGTTATGAACCGAGTTGGCGGATCATTACACGACGGCGAAAACAAAGAATTTAAGCGTAATTACGGCCCCGAACAATTCCAGAAAGGATGGTTGCAAGTTTCCAGTTCTGGGGGATAAAGTGGGACGAGATTTCTTACCTGTCACAGGCAGGTGTGGTGTGGCTGTGTGACGCTGAGGCGGCGATGCTAGCTCAGTAGCATGCTAACTAATCTTTATCCGACATGCCAAGATAAATGAGAAAACACGACCGGGAAAATGTAGCAGAGTCGTATTCGAAACAACCGAAAAGTATTTCCAACAAACTGCCATGGTGGTTAGTTGTCCAAACACCGGGGGAAAGTGCACACAAGTGTCTTTTTTTTGTAAGTCAACGGACCCATCCCTCTCTCCGTAGCGACCATGAAACGACGCTTTCTCGTTTCTAGGCGAGGGGGAGGTCACGTGACGTGGGGCCGGAAGTAACCGAGAGCTTTTTTTTCTCCTTCGAAATAAAAGTCTGATGTACTCTTGGATTTATTGTTGCTTTTCTGGCTACCACGACAAAATAAATTAAAAAAAAAATAAAAGAAACCCGTAAAAGCAAACCATGTGATTATGGTTTCATACAGATTTAAATTAATTGAAAATGTAATTTTTATTTTGTTCTGTTGATTAAATTCAAATTCAAATTCAAAAAACTTTATTTGTCCCCAGGGGGCAATTCAAAGGCACACAGAGCAGTAAATTAACAACAGTGCAAGTAGACAAAACATTTTAACCTAAAAGTGTCAATTTAAATACAACTTAAAGCTTACACTTAACTTAAAAATACAAAATATAAAGGAGTAGATATAAGTGGACAGTGATCGGACTAACAGATGTAAACAGATGTAACCATAACTATGTGCAGTAGTGACCAGATGTAAACAGAACTATGTGCAGTAAACGAGAAATAAATATATATATACAGAGCTATGTGCAAGTAGGCAAATACTAAATGATAAGTTATAAGGTGCATGGTGAATAATGGAACAACAGAATTAATATAAACAATATAACTGTAAAGGTAAAAATTAGATAAATAAAGTGACCGTAGTGCAACGATGGATAAGAAACAAGAGGAATAAAGTAACCAGAACTGTATAAATACTGAAATTAAAAAGTGGCTTTAGGTGTCTATCTTTACATATCAGGATAACACCCTGAGATGTACAATTTTGTTCTCAATAGACTCCCAACAGAAAACACATTTAGGCTACAACAGGACATCAAAATTGACGACAAATTAACAATAAAAATAAAATCAATCAATCAATCAATCAATCCATCAATCGTTATTTGTATGGCCCCATTTCATAACAAATGTTATCTCAAGACCAAACTTATGTTGAACATCCATCTGCCGAACTGTGTGAGGTTTGAAGAGAGAGACAGAAAGAAAAAGATAGAGACAAGCAGAGCAACAAAAACAACTAACAAAACTGATTTATGGCTGACATGGTATAATGGCAAAGGTATGCATGCTAGCAGTGCATGTATGATAATCAATTGATCATCTACTATTAACATTAACAGCAATGATATGATATGAAAAACGGGAAGTGATCATTTTTAGTAAAGGGTACATAATCCATTCTAGATGAAGGATAAATTAAAATTGGTGTAAGTGCATCATAAACTGAAAATGAAAGGAAAACCTGCAAATCTGCATTGTACTATATGTTTTGTTAAGATGAACAATGTCTGATTTAGATTCATTTTGTCCAGCTGACTTAGGTCAGGAGGACATAATCAGTATGATATTTGAGTAAGAGTTCTGAGTCAAGAGAAACACCAAGATAGATGTGTTTTTCAACCTTATGTAGAGGAGTACCATCTTTACATGTACTTGTGTACAATGGGATTAGGTTTGGATTCAAGTTTTTATTGTACCAAATATCAATCCATAGGAATTTGTTTTGTTGAGAAGAAGTTTATTTGATGAAAAAAAAATCTTGTAAAATAAAGACTCTTGGAGAGAAGTAACATTGGTGAAAAGGTTATTTATAACAGTTTCATCAGCATCAAGAAGATATTGACAAACAAAGTGGACCCAATGTTGAGCCCTGTGGCACACCATATTGAATCAGCAATCACATTAACATACATTTTACCTTGTATTAAATATATACAAATTTTGTGTTAATGTGTCAAAATAAATTTAGTGAACACGTTTTGTTTTTGATGTGGTAGGAAACAAGTAGAGCTTTCCTCTAAAACCAAGGACCAGTCCTAAGGCCCTTGACATCATGAGTTAATATTGCGCTTTAATAAAATATGTTCTTGTAGTCCTTCCCAAAAAATGACTTATTCGTTTACAGTGCAAAGAATGGATGCAGAATTATGACTATACACATTGGGTTCTACTTGGTGAAAGATAAACTTTTATTGCACCTATTAACTTTTCATCGCACATCTAGCTGGTGTTTTTGTGAAGCTGAATCTTGACTTTAAAGAAGGTTATGCTTAACAACACATGATAGGTTAAAATGTTACCAACCTGTGGCAGTGTGTCCCTCTAGAGAGCTAATTTGTCGACCTTCATTACAGCCACAGGTTGAATGGCTCCCGGAGCTGGAAATCTGGGACACATTAGACACGTCCCCGGACAGCTAAGATTAATTCTACAAGAATAATTGTACGTTTTTATGTGGTGAGCCTACATGTGCTTCAATGTGGCTGTGAGTTTTTCTTTTGCCTGCTTTGTATAGATAAAGTAAGAAAAGATTCTGGCTTTAACTTCATGATCTGGATTCAAACAAATATGTTACATGCAATTAAGCACTGACTCACTGGGATGTCCCAATTTAAATGGTGCAAATAGGCCACTTAGTTAGGCTACAATCAACACAGCTCAATACCTTTGTGAGGTGACCTCAAAACCAACTTTGTTTGCAGCAAATGGCTCAAATTAAAACAACAAGTTACACTATAGTTTGTTCGGCATTGTGTTGACTGTAATCAGATAGTATTGTATAAATTAATGCAGAACTAAATAGGTGCAAACTTTGTTTATTGTGCCTGTTTCACATACTTAATTCCCCAAAAATACTTTTTCACACGGTGGAAACAAACACGTTTCCCGACTTGTGTGATTGCAGAAAACAGGACACAATGGCATTAAAGCTGCACTATGTAGATCTGGTAGTGAAATTTGAAAGTTGGAGAAGTGAAACAATTCTATGCTATAGTTTCTGAACTATATACACAAACTTTACTCAAAGGAAAAAAATGGGTCCCTGGAACACTGTTTAGAGCTAAAAAAGCAACCAGGAGAGTTACAGTTTCACTTTGGCGGACCCTCCACCACAACTTCTCGCATAGCATTTTATCTTCAAACAGTGTTCCAGAGACCACATTTTCCTCTGAGGACAGTTTGTGTGTAGAGTTATGAACATATACCACAGAATCTGTACATTTCTCCAACTTTCATAGTTCTCTACCAAAACTCCATAGGGCACCTTTAAACTGGCCACCTGCAGAATCTAAAGCATTTGAGATCTCCAAAAGTGTTTGAAGTAAAAAATAAGATATTTTTGTGTCAGCCTGGAGCTCCACAAGAAATAGCTGAGGGCAGATTTTAAACTCACGAAAAGCCTTGACAAAAAAAGTCTTCCTCTTATCAATATTTGTTTATCATGCCTGGCCATAATCATCTTCCGTATGCCTATTGTTCAATTTGCAGAAATCAGTCAATCATCCGTAAAATGCAACATAAATAGACTACTGACATGTATTGTGACGAAGAGTTTCTCCTACAAATCCGGCATACAAACATGAATTGTAATGCCCTCTTGTACGCCTGTCTGTGGAGTTGTGCGTTCAGCTTCTCCATTCATGCATATTTTCAATTCCACAGGTTGGGGTATAAATACTTCATAGGGTGTGTGTGTGTGTGTGTGTGTGTGTGTGTGTGTGTGTGTGTGTGTGTGTGTGTGTGTGTGTGTGTGTGTGTGTGTGTGTGTGTGTGTGTGTGTGGCGCTTGTTTGACGTGACACTCCCCCTGGTCGATGGGAGGCCGACGTCACCCTGCACAGCGGAGGAGTGGATGGCCTCTCTCTCTGTCTGTAATAAAAATACATGAAGTGAATTGAGGAAAAGGAGAAGATTGGCCGACGGCGGGGGGGAAGCAACAACACTCCGTTTCATTCCTTTCTTCACACCACGCGACTCAACAGTGGAAGTAGGACGCCTTTCTTTTTTTTACGCACGCGTGGATGAATTTTCGCTGCTGCGCCGGGGACTCAGGCTGAAATGCTGTGTTATGTGTGGCTTTCTTGGCTTTTTTTTTCTCCCCTCAGCAGACAGAGAGAGAGAGAGAGATAACTGTACTGTATTCCAGACTAGCGGATTGGAGTGAAAGTCCGCCATATTCTTGCCTTACCACGCCCGGGGAGTGGAGCCATTGGAAAATAAACGGAGAGCTTTTATTTACATGTGTTTCCCAAATGTCTTCCTCATCCACGGACGATAACTTGAACTCGAGTGGAATTTGCTTGATTGAAAAACAGCAACATTGAAGACTTTAAAGAGAGAGGCACGGATGGCAAATGCTTCATAGTTAAGGAGATCACCCAGAGCTGCACGGAGGATGTGTCTTTAAAGGATCTGTTGATCATATTGAGAAGGAAAAGCAGATTACACCAATTAAGATTGCACTGATATTCATCTCAAAACCGCTTTGGACACTTGTTTTCGAGCTGTCAGGAGACACAGACAGCCAACCGAAACGGGGGAAGGGGGGTAGCCTAAATAATAATTTGTCAAAAATCTAATTTCTTTCAGCACAATCTGTGCTCTGTACAGACTCATTATAAGGGGCGTCCACGCGTAATTTCCCCACTAGGCCTGTATGAGGATTTGTCATTCACACCCCTCGGTTGTTGTTTTTAAACTGATTTGACATCTGAATGAATCAGTAAGAGGAAAAGGCGTGTTCTCCCCTTTCACATATAGTAAACAAAAACTCAGAAAATGACCCTGGAATCCATTATGGCGTGTTGCCTCAGCGAGGAGGCGAAAGAAGCCAGGCGGATCAACGACGAGATCGAGAGGCAGCTCCGCCGGGACAAGAGGGACGCACGCCGGGAGCTGAAACTGTTGCTTCTCGGTAAGCTCCACAACACGGGAGAAACACAGAGGGGAGGGGAGGGGAGGGGGAGGAGTACAAATTCCTCTCACCGAAAAATACCTTTGTGGGGGCAGGGGGCGGGGTAGGTTAGGTAGACTTAATGGGACCTCCCACATGTGTGAAGTTGGGTGAAATATGTTAGTGAGATGAGTGAGAGTGCACAGATTGGCAGGTCAGAGGAGATGCTGCTCAAACCACCTGATTTGAATAACTGTGTTTGTGTCTAGGAAACAAATTCACTGACTATATATTCCTAACCTCTTCACCTCTATGCATTCAGTGGCCTAAAAGCAACCTTTGTATCCAGGCCTATAGAGGTCCAAACCTATATATATATATATATATATATATATATATATATATATATATATATATATATATATATATATAGTGTGTGTTTAAACATCAGCTTGGCCAAAGTCTAGTGTTTATTGGGGGGTAATCGAGGCAGAACCGCAGAACCCTGACAATGATTACAACACAAATGACAGCCTAAACATTTTAAACTTAGATACCACCTGTAAAAAATCCAACAATATCGATACCTGTGTCAGTCTGTACCATAGCAACAAATATAAAAGTCCATGGCGTATAGGGTGATTTCATGTTTTTAATTTACAAAGCTGTCTAAATTGCACAAATGCAAAACGTTGCCAATGTATGTTTCCATTTAAGACAGTGTCTTTTTTTCTTTTAATCACCTTTTGGTTAAAACTATGACTGAAGATTTTAAGTTTTTTTTTTAAATAACTTTGGTACTTTCTCATGCTATTGATCATTAGACTAACATGAGCGCCATTGTTTTGGTAATGGAAAGTATTGAAGTATGGAGGATTCCGACAACCTCACAGTCTGTTGAGCCGGTTGGACGCACACCTTTCCAAGCATCCACAGCTTGTGTGATGCCACGCTCCTGGATCTGCCTTGCATGTTCAGTAAAACCTTTCTCCAACTATTTGAAACCTCATGTATTAGCTGAAAAACACACCACTCTAACTATTTAATCCTACTTTTTTACTCTAGTGTCTTGACAAATTATCTTAAAATCTGTGCCAGAAACCTTGTAACTTCAACAAATGTTTATTAGGATCAGGATACCTTTGCATTTTAACACTTAAAGCCTGTTGTACAGACTGTATGAAAGTCGTGGTGGAACGTCAGCTCACACTGTATGACCACATCGTTAAACAAGGCACGAATCCAAAGCTCACAGTTCATGTGCTCACCCTGTACGACCCGATTCTTGGATTAAATCAGGGCAGAGCATTGACAATTGTCAATAGAAAACTCCTACAGACGGAGGGTTAAGTCATATGTGTATAGTTTAGTTATCTCATGCACAGCTCACGGCAAAAAGGCTCTCACTCTCTCTCTCTCTCTCTCTTTCTCTCTCTCTTTCTCTCTCTCTTTCTCTCACACACAAACTCAGCATCACCAACAAACACAAGCTTACTAGCACCTAATTCATTACCAAACATTACCTGTCACCTTGAGGTCCAGAGATAATTCCAGCCAACGTTTCTTTGGTGATACAAGGGGGAAGATAGATTAAACAGGCATGGTTGCTGTTGCCATGGTGATTATCAGATATGGGCTGTCAGTTCTGGCATGCACAATCAGGGAACTTTTAAAAAGTCCTGAAGTTGGGGAATCGCGCGAGCTCTGCTCTCACTTTGCGAGTGTGTGCAGTCGTATACGACCGGCCATCGTGCCTCAGTGAACAATGCACGACAACGCTCGGCGATCACACTGAAAATCAACACCCGCACTTCAAAATTTGTCGTCCTACTCAAAAATCAGGTCTAAATCAGCCTGAAATCATGCAGTGTACGTCCAGCTATAGGGTTGTACATTTGGGTTGGTTGGCACGACTACAGAATTTTAAACTTTTATAAAATACTAATAAAGTAACAAAGTATATCAATAACTGTTTTGATACCATGGAAACAAAAACAGAAGTCATAGGCGATTTCTTGTTTTCAATTATGAAAAATAGCAAGGGAGTCCAAACTGCATCAATACATTGGTAACTTTTGTAGAGAGTGTGCAGGAGTTGGCTTTTTCCTCTCATACACACCTTTATTATCAAATCGTCTAGCTGTAGTTTTCTTTTAAAGCTTTGGTATTGTCAATACTATTGGTTATTAAAAAAATGGAAACTGTATCATTTTAAAAACGTGGTGTGGAGAAGTATTTACTATTTTGACATCCTTAGTAGGCAGGGGCTATCAGCACTGTCGAGAAGTATTAGTCATACTCGAGAAATCTGAGGAAAACAAGTCATCTACTCACCATCCCATTTTTAATTCGATTTGAGCAAAAAGGCCCATTAGCTGTGATGGCTGTGGTTGTGGAGAGTGGTGTCAGGAGCCTCTCTTCCTGTTCCTGTGCCCTCTACTTTCTGTCCTTTTAAAAAAAAGAAGAAGCAGGAAATCATTTCATGCAGACTTCTTTTAAAGAGGGAACGAAGCATTTTTGCTTCTTGAATGGATGTTTTAATAGAAGGAGGAAGTGTTTCCTGTTTGCCGTCCTGTTAAATGACATGAATCCCCCTGTTCAGAACTCAAAGCAGCTGATCGCCACCTATGAATATAAACAAAATAATGTGTTCTTCCTCTCTTATCTCTTATAATACCCAACAATTTGCCCATTACGCAATCAGCTATAGTCATTTAAAACCATATTTGTCATGAGTAAATTTGTGTTTATTCTCATATGATTCATATTCAGTGTTCATGTTTTAAGCGTATAGGTTCTGTCAAAACAGGCAAAACTGAAAAAGTTTGATTGGTCTCTTAATATTCAGTCGTGGAGAGATGCAGCACGGTAAAAATGTTCCTTACGACTAACCGTCGTGCAATTTCTCCACGAGAAACACAATTAACATTTTACTTTAGTTTGTTATGAGAAAATAAAAGTATACGCGTTGAAGGCAGCATTGTTTGCAGAGTAGATAGAGTGTTATTGTAGGGACAATTTAACATGTTGGCATGTAGGGCTGGACTTCAAGATAAGGATTGTGATGGGAATATGGTCCAAGCTAAACAGAATAAATGGCTGTCAAGGGACAAGAAGTATGCCAAATACCACTGACTGTATATATAAGGACTCCGAACACATTCTTGCCAACTCCTAGTTGTGCAAAAAAAGAATCGACAATACTCCCGAGAGACAGGCTGGACATATTGCGCCAGTGCTGTCATTTGGAGAGAGAGAATGAGATAACCTTTACTGACTGCTTTTTTCTCGAAAGTGGCACAACTTAGCTCCGCCGTCAACACATAGTTGTACATTCATATTTATTCCATGACGGCATAATATTGGTGTCCAAGTCTGTGAATTCACATTGTAAACACTCGGTATAAATCAGCACAAAGAGAACAAACTATAAAGACAAAAACCGTGTTCTTGGGGTGCTTATTTCGCTTGCATTTTAATTTTCTACTTTCACCCATGTCCCATCTGTTAACATGGAGGAGGCGGAGCTTATGACCAATATACTGTAGCATGCAGTCAGTAAGGGAAGCTTCAAACTGTTTTGTCTTCACTGTTGGGGAGATGAATCACCGTCCTTCTTTCGATACAGTCTGCGGCTCGTACATAATTCACTGAGAAAGAAAACAACACTCCACCAAACACACAAGTAATGAGTCATCCTGAGGAAGTTGTTCATGCTCCAAATGATTCCATTCATGCTAATTATATTAGTGTTCTGTGGCTTTGTAACTCCCTGCATAATCTCCTGTGGGATCCATCAAAAAAAACCTTCTAGTTAAAGAAGTTTCTCAGTTCTCTTGAAAATGGCCCTCGCTTGAGTTTTCTCTTCACCACTTTGGCTTTTAGACTCTATCTGTAGTCCTTCAAACCCGATAATTGTTTAACATCCACAGGGACTGTTCACATCGGAGTGCACACAGCACAACAAAATGAGTGAGTTGAAAAACATTGCGAGCATTTAATCTACCCTCGTTGAGCTTCTGATATCCATTAAGGTGCCGTGAACTAATAAGGAAGATAAATCGATTGAAGACCAAGAATACAGCGAGCAGCTGAGTTGAGTGGTTGTTGCAGCAGAATGGGGGATAGGGTATAACTTCAATCCAGCTAATGAGTCAGTGATATGATTGGTTTCACTTAGAAAGGTGACTCAGCAAAAGTCCAGTAAGGATCAATGTCGGCAAAAGTCCAAGTAAAACGAGGATGGCCATCTTGTCAAGAAGTTGAATCGATCATCAACATAAACCCAAACACACACATTTTTTATAATTCATTTCTGTAACTCTTAGCTCTCTTATGTAACATGGAAATATGTTTTTTTTTATTCACTGTTGATGCACAAAGCTTCATATATACCATCAAAGACTATAGACATTTGGTAATTTGCCAATAAAAATGTTGTTCCATAACATAAATGCAAACTGCAGCATCCAAAAACGTGAAGTGAAATGAATTTGAACAGACTTTTTTCACTGCATTGTCTAACTAAGAATGTTGTTGATAACAGTATTGTATGGCATGTTTAATATTTTGGTCGTACAACTGCACACACTTGCACGGTGAGAGCAGAGCCACGATATCAGGACCCGTTTGTCTGATGTTTTCCGAAAGCACCATGGCAACAGCAGGCAGCAGGCATGGTTTGATCTAATTCAAAAAATGTTGGAACAAAATGTCTGCAGAGCCCCAACTGACAGGGAAGCCTCTGTCTGTAGGAGTTTTCTTTTGACAATGGTGAATGCTCCGTCCCGGTTTGACTCGTATACAGTGTGAGCTCAGGTCGGGCCCCGACAATCAGGTTGTTCAGTGTGAGCAAATAAATCATGAGCTCCGGTCTTGCATCCTGAACAATTCGGCCATACAGTATGAGCTCTCATTCCCCCGTGACTTTAACACTATCGTACAGTATACACTGGGCTGCGAGAAATTGAAGAAATTAGCTTTACAGACCTTTAACAACTGTTAACATAATTATTTCTGCT